CCTTTTGCTTGAATAAATACTGCAGACTCTTGTGATCCGTGAACACCTCACATGCCATGCCATACAGATAATGCCTCCAAATCTTTAATGTGTGAACAATGGTTGCCTACCCCAAATCATGAACTGAATAGTTCTTCTCATGAATATTCAACTGCCGCGAAGTATAGGCAATGACCTTGCCATCCTGCATCAACACTGCACCAAGTCCAATACGAGACGCATCACAATAGACTGTATACGGCCCTGAACCTGTGGGCAAAACCAACAACGGTGCCGTAGTCAAAAGTTGTCTTGAGCTTCTCAAAGCTTGCCTCACACTCATCCGACCATCTGAACTGGGCACCCTTCTAGGTCAACTTGGTCATCGGGGCTACGATAGATGAAACCCCTCCACGAACCAACGGTAGTAGCTTGCCAATCCTAGGAAACTCCGAATCTCTATAGCTGATGTTGGTCTAGGGTAGTTCTTGACTGCCTCAATCTTCTTCGGATCAACCTGAATACCCTCTGCTGATACAACATGACCCAGGAATGCAACTGAACTCAACCAAAACTCGCACTTCGAAAACTTGGCGTATAACTGACTGTCCCTCAAGGTCTGAAGAACCACTCTAAGATGATGCTCGTGCTCCTCTCGGCTGCGGGTATATATCAAAATATCATCAATGAATACTATTACGAACAAATCCAAATAAGGCCTAAACACTCGGTTCATCAAATCCATAAAATTGTTGGGGTATTTGTCAACCCGAATGATGTAACTAAGAACTCATAATGCCCGTACCAAGTGCGAAAAGCTATCTTAGGGACATAGGATGCCCTAATCCTCAACTGATGGTAGCCATATCTCAAGTCAATCTTCGAAAATAACTTGGCACCCTGAAGCTGATCAAACAAATCATCAATCCTTGGCAATGGATACTTATTCTTGATTGTAACCTTGTTCAACTGCCGGTAATCAATACACATTCTCATCGAACCATCTTTTTTCTTAACAAACAACACCGGCACACCCCAAGGTGAAACACTGGGTTTAATGAAACCCTTCTCAAGTAAGTCTTGTAACTTCTCCTTTAACTCTTTCAACTCAGGCGGGGCCATACGATACGACGGGATAGAAATGGGCTGAGTGCCCGGAGCCAAATCAATACAGAAATCAATATCCCTGTCGGGTGGCATATCCGACAGGTCTGAAGGGAAAACCTCAGGAAACTCACGAACAACGGGCACAGAATCAATAGAAGGAACCTTAGCACTAGAATCATGTACATATGCCAAATAGCCCAAACACCCCTTCTCGACCATGCGCCGAGCCTTCATATAAGATATAACACTACGGGTAGAATGATCAGGAGTCCCTATCCACTCTAAACGAGGCAAACCCGGTAAAGCTAAGGTCACAGTCTTGGCATGATGGTCCAAGATAAAGTGGTAAGGTGATAACCAATCCAGCCCTAATATGACATCAAAATCAACCATGTCCAGAAGAAGCAAATCTACGCGAGTCTCAAGACCTTCAATCACAACTATACACGAATGATGGACATGATCTACCACAACAAAATCACCCACCGATGTAGACACATAAACAGGGACACTCAAAGAATCACTAGGCATGACCAGATACGGCGCAAAATAAACCGAAGCTTCTCTACCACAAACCAGAACAGTACCTGCACCTCTAATACCTCTACCTCCACCTCTAGCATCTCTACTTCCACCTCTAATACCTCTACCTCCACCTCTAGCTAACTGAGCGGGCTGGACGAGTCCCTCAATGAACCTCCTCACTATCTCTCAGTGGAAAGTATGATAAGAGCATGACGAGCCAAGTCGATGAATCTGATATCGTACTGAGTAACCGTCATAGAACCCTGCTGGAGATGCTCAAACTACCTCTGCTAGAGGTCTCTCTGAGTGATGGGAGAAACTCCTCCAGAAATAGTTGCGTGAACTGTTCTCAAGTCAAAGTTAGTGATCCGGCTGGTCTAGCCAAACTGTAATCCCTCCACCAAGTCTTGGAGGATCCATACAAGCGAAAAATGGCAAAATCGACCTCATTGGTCTCAACTATCCCCATGTTCCTGAGAACCTCGTGACAGCTGTCTAGATAATCTTGGGGATCCTCAGAAGATGCACCGCTGAAAGTAGTAGTGAAGAGCTTGTTGAACCTATCCAACCTCCACAAAGCCTTCGAAGATGTAGCTGATCTATCACTGATTTCTGCTGTTGTTCGGCTGAAGAAGCGGTACATGACCTCGCCATTCGCGAAAGAACAAGAATAGAGGTTTCGATTTAGCATTGAGAGAACAAAATCGCACGACAGGAAAGAAACAGGAATAGTAGATAGAACGAGACGCCAAGGCCTGCGGATGCCTGCAGGACAACCTCGGGTCGCCTGATGAACAAGAATCAGCAATCCCACCGTGGTCCGAAGTCTACAACACTTGGGTTTACACAAAAGAGTGCAGAGTGTAGTATCAGCACAACCGACCTCATGTGCTGGTAAGTGCCTAGCCTAACCTCGGCGAAGTAGTGACGAGGCTAGGACCAGACCACCAAATAAACTTGTGCAGTTATATAATATACAACGGAAAGTAAAGCAGTAATAAACAAGTAAAGATGGGAGGGGGAAACATGCTTCGGGGAATAACAGGTAAAAACAGAATATCAAGAGAATTATTAAGGAATCAAAAT